CTGCCATTTGCTGGTTGTCTGAGCTTACTCAAGGTGATGAGCTTTCTGGGTCTCAGTGTGCCCGGCTGACTTGATGTATAGGGTTATAACAAGGACTCTGCCTGAGGGCTTTTCAGACTCTGAGGAGGGAGGTGAGGCCTCCTCAGAAACTACTGGAGGTTGCCAGTCAGGAGTAGTGCCAATGTAAGCATGAACCCTACAAGAAGGAGATGCAGTCTGGATTATTCTGTGAACTGCTCACGGAGTAGAGGCAGCAGCTGGGCCACAAAAGACAGAGTAGAGCTGAGCTCCAGTGGCGGACATTCTAGGAGCAAAGAGAAAGCTAAGGAGAAAAGACAGTTGGGTAGTAGGTGGCTGGGGCAGGGAAAGAAAAAACCTGGCCTTCATAAGGAAAGTCTAGAGAGATTACTTACAACATATCAGAACACAGAGACCTGAAGTCAGAGGGAGCACATGTAGGTAGGTTATTGCGGAATCCAAAAGGGAGGGAGGGAAGACTGTTCCAGAGTGAAGACTGTGAGGACAGAGGGTGGGTGGGTGAACCTGTAGATCCCAGTCCCTGGATACACATTGAGACAAGAACTCAGAGGTCTGGCTCCTCAGTGAAGGGAGGGTCTGTCCTAACTACTATTAGGGCCTGTGAGGTCAGGCAGAAATCAGAGGACTAAATCTCAAATCATCCATTCACAGAGTCCCTTCCAAATAGAAGCAGTCTCTGCCTCTTTCTACCCCAGAACAGAGTTTGATCCCTGGCCCTCCCACTTAAAATACACTTCCGGCCTGGGTGAGCTAATTCCTACCCAAAGCATCAGCCTCTACCCTATACATTGGTGACTGCTACATTTGTATCTCCAGCTGAGACCCCTTCCATGAACATGGGATGCCCGGAGCTGCCTGCTTCCTGGACTTCACCTGGAAGGCCTAATGGTTTCCAATTCTCCGCCCATATCTGCATTCTCTCTGTGTATGCCCCTCCTGAATTAACAGGACCACCAACCCTATAGTGCTGACACCAGAAACCTTGACCTCACTCTTGATCCCTATCTCCCTCCCCTGCTCCCTACTTCTTCATCTGGTGGGTTTTGCATTTATCCCACATCTTCCTAAATGTGCTTTGCATTTATCCCTTTCTCTCTTTTCCCAAAACAACAAACTGCTCCGGTCCAGGATTTTATCTTTTTCTTACCAGGATTTCTGACACACCCTTGTAATGGTTCTCCTTGCTTCTTTTCAGGTCACCCTGAAACCCATTCTCTGCATGACAGCCAGTGTGGCCTTCACAACGAGCAACACAGCTTGTGTCTCAGCCCTGGTCATAGGTCCTCAGAAGCTTCCTGCTTTTCTTCAGGACAAAGGCCAAATTACTTGGGACTCAAGGCCTCTCAGAATCTGGTCTACGCTTTTTAGTCCTCACTATATTTTCATACTTTTCCAATAGTGATTTAAAAAAATTTTTTTAAGTTTTTTTTTTTAAATTATTTTTAAGAGAGAGAGAGACAGAGTGCAAGCAGGGGAGGGGCAGAGAGAGAGAGGAAGACACAGAATCTGAAGCAGGCTCCAGGCTCTGGACTGTCAGCACAGAGCCCGATGCAGGGCTCACACCCACCAACCCTGAGATCATGACCTGAAGTGCAGTTGGCTGCTTAACTGACTGAGCCCCCCAGGCGCCCCTCAAAAGTGTTTTTATACTCCAGCCATAGCCAGCCGCTTACAGTTTGTCAAATCTCCAAGTATATGTGTCACTCCCTTTGCTCAAATACTCCATTCTCCTCCTCAGCAGACTGGCAAACTCTATTTTTCAAGTTTCGGCTCAGTCTCCAATTCCCCTGGGGAGCCTTTTCAACCTGTGCCAAATAGATACCCCCCTCTGTGCTTCTGCTGAACTTGGCTCTTTCCCCTCTTATCCCACCACAAGTTCAGTATGCCCGTTCATTTACACATTCATTGGCCCTCCATGTATTTACTACACGGGTACTGGGGATAGGATGGCAAGCTGAAGACATGTGATTCCTGACCCGAGAGAAAGTATGTGCCTGTCGGCCTCCACAGCCTTTGGGAGATAATTGATGATCTTGTTTTTCATGGGGCTCCAGGTCTCTGCTCTTGCTATTCCCTCCACCTGGAACACTCTTTGGTCTGCACAACTGGCTTCTTCTTGGTCACATTAGTATCTAGACTCAATGCCTCTCCTACCCCTCATTCTCTACCCTTTAACTAGATTTTCTGGCTCAACAGCATTTATCACTGTTGAAACTATCTTGCTTTTTCACTTCATTGTCCACTTCTTCTTACTTTCGAGAGTAGGGACCTTGCCTTGGTCTTCTTGCCCACAGAATCCTGGAGACTAGTGTGTTTGAGGCATACACCGGGGGCTCCACAGTGTGTGATAAATGAGTGGATGGATTTTGTAGACAAGGAAGGGATGTAGAGAACAGAAGGACTGGACATGAGCGCGAAATCATTTAATTATAGACTCAGTACTGGACAACCTTGGGAATCACAGAATGGAGGGTGGAAATCAAAAAACAGCCACACAGCTCTAGGAGGTGAAGTAAGGGGAGGTGGGAAGATATGTACTGACCTAATGGACAGACCTGTAAGTAAAACATCACTCACTCTCTTCTTCACCACCTCTTTTCTGAACCTTTGTAGAATTATTTAGCAAACAATATCTCTCCTAGGGTAAAGAAATACTTAAAATTTAACAATAATTCCTTTTTTAAACTTCATGTTAGCTTCCCTTTCTTTCATTTAGAGAAAGTAAAATAGTTTACTTCTGAAAACAGCAACTTTAAGGTGTTAATATTTTATTTATTTATTTTATTTATTTATTTTGAGAAAGCATGTAAGTGTGAGCAGGGGAGGGGCAGAGAGAGAGGGAGGGAGAGAGAGGGAATCCAGAGGAGGCTCAACACTTGTCCGAGGAGATCTCAAGAACCCTGAGAACCTGAGCTGAGATCAAAAGTCTGCCGTTTAACCGACTGAACCATCTAAGCACCCTGAGGTGCTAATATTTTAAAGTAAATTTATTTTTTAGCTATCTATTCATCTATCTGTCAACTCTGCATGTGTCCATCCACATCGATACACACACACACACACACACACACGAAAAATAGATGTCTGTAATTTATTTGAGACTCATGAAAGTTATTTTTGGCTGAAAAAAGTTCGGTTACCTTTTATTTTCTGTATTTTCCTTCATTAGTTGTAATTTTTTTACAAAGCGCATGTTTTGTATCACTCTTGGAAAAAACAAATGATTTTTTTAAACAACTGGGAGCAAATATACCAAAATGTAAATGATAGTTCATTTTGCGTGGTAGGGCTATTAAGATATAGCCCTCTTTGTATGTTTCTGAAGAAAAAAGTGTTTTCTTTCATTTTAAAGAATAATTTTTAAAAAGGAAAATTGTGCATCCAAGATTAGAGCATTAGGGATTCCGAGAGGGCGGCAGAATCAAGGTCAAGGTTGAAAGAGTGGTGGGGCAGGGTGTCTTCTCAGCCAGGAGGGGAATGCAGACAGCTAGCAGGAAGGATCTGGTAGCCAGGGTCACAACCCCGGGAAAGGAGTTGAGGTTGTCATGAGAAGCTGGGCCTCCCATGGCCTGGGGGCATCTAGCTGGCAGACCCCGGCTTCTCCCCGAGTTTCCTGGGAGACCGTTTAAGCAATCCAGGGGCTGAGTTCGCACACCTCCTACAGCCTTCTGGATGGATGCAGAGGTTTGACGACCCCGTGTAGCCCCTCGCAGGAGCCAGGCAGAAAACAATGGCTCCGTGATTATAAACGAATATGAGTAGCTGGCGGTACGCGAGCATCATCTGAAGATTTCTTTTTCTTTTTCAAGAGAGGAGAAAGGTTCACGTCGGGAAGAAGCTATCGGAATAGGAGAAATTGAATATGACACAGAGGGAGGGAGCGGGGGGGTGGATTGAAACTGGGGGGGGGGTGTAGGCACAGGGCGGGGTGGGGGGGAGAGGCAGCCTTCCCTTCCATAATGCTGAAATCATCCAATTGCCTGTCCATCTTTTCACCGGACTGTGACCTTCGTCCATGGTCTTTGCCCAGCTCGACTTTCAGACCCTCCCCATCGCCTCGCAGGACGCCGGCTCCCAGTAAGTGCTCAATAAATGCTCAGATGAGCGGAGGCAGCTCCTTGCATCTATACAGTCCAGGGCTTAGGAGGAGAAAGCAAGGAGGCCGGCGCTCTGGAAGGTTCCTTCGGAGGGACTCCTGGGCGTTCGAGACGGGGGTCCGGGGGAGTGTCATATTAACAGTGGAGGGAGCGGTGCAGACAACCGGCCCTCTGCAGGATTTGCCAACCTCAGCACTTGGGGACCGACGGAGACGTCGGAGGAGGTGGGAAGGTGCGTGCGCCCTTCGCAGCAGGCCCTCGGATGCTGGGTGGTACCCACGGAGGCGCTCGGATCACTAGGGATGGAGCTAAGGCAGGGGTCTTCCCTCCCATCTCAGAGCACCTTGGACCTTGCATTTCACCGACCTCGCCTTCCCCATCCGGCGAGTGGGAAGGCTCCCAGCTCCCCAGACGCCTGGGCAGGGAGCAGGGCTGGGAGCGCTAGTGCAGAGATCGCGGCGCTCCCGCGTGCGGGCATCCCCGAGGGGTTCGCGCCGGCTCGCTCCGGCCCCCGCGCCCGCGCAGCCGGGACCCCAGCCGGGTGCGGAGGGTTCCCTCCCTCCCCCCTCCCCCTCCCCCCTCCCCCCAGCACCATCTGGGCCAGGGGCGGCCCCGGCGCGCCCCGCCTCCTCGCTCAGCCCTCCGCGGCTCCGCGCCCCGCGCTGCCTCGGCGGCGGGCAGGGGTGGGGGGCCCGCGGGGCGACGGGGAGCCGGGCCCGGGGCGCGCGGGGCCCGAGGACGCACGCGGCCGGCCGGGCGGCGCGCGCTTCCCCCTCCCCCGCGGCCCGAGCGCGAGCCGCCGTGACGTCACGGGCCGCCCGCCAGCCCCGCGCTCCAGCGGGCAGAGCGCGTGCGGCCGCCGAGCACATGGGCCCGCGGGCCGGGCGGGCTCGGGGCGGCCTGGCTCCGGACGGGCAGCGAGGGGCCTGGCTCGGGGGCCGGCCCGCGCGCCCCCCGGCCCCCCCGAGCGGATTTCCACGCCGAGAGGATGTTGGCAGCCCCGGCGACCTGCCGAGACGCGGCGGGATCCACCTTCCAGTAAGTTAGAATTTTGCCCTCTGCGTTTCTGGGAACTCGAAAGCCTTGGCCTGGCGGGTTTGGGATGCGCGAGGAGTAGTTAGCTGGACAGAGGAAAGGGGCTTCGGATCCCCGTGTGTGCTTGTTAGCCCTGTACTTTCATCACCAGGCTCAGAGTGGCGGTGAGTTTGGGCGTTGGTGGGGGGTGGGGGTGGGGGGTGCAGGGGGAGACATCAAATGGCCCAGGCGTGCATCGAGATAATTCCGGGTTTGTGCACTTGATGGGAGGTGTATTGTTACCTTACACCTAAAAATAGACCTCCTCCAATCAGTACCGATTTGGGGTCGCAGATGTGGTTTGGAGGCCCCTTTTGAGAAGCGAGAGATCTGTGAACCATATGATGCTCTCTCCATCCTTTGACCATTCCCCTCCCCGACCAGATGATTTTCGAAACTGTTCCTTGAAACTTTCTCTGCTTGTGCCTTCCATTTACAGATTTGTTGGGTGGCCCCACAGCCTTCTCGTGGTAATTCTTTTCGGGATGGCTTATTTGGTTTAATTGTGCTTACCCTCCCCAGCCTAATGCGCTCTTATTTTTGCCAGTGTTGGGGGTGGGTATTGACTTTCAGGAAGGGCAGCCATGAGGCTGCAAGTGTCCGGTGCCCGGAAACACTGTGAATTTTCCTGATACTCTGGAAGTATGGAGTAGTCTTCTGTTCGCTGGAGCCCCCCGACTCCAGGCCCTTCTAGAAGAGGAGAGGAGGGAGGAAATCTCTTGTGAAGGTTTTTAGGGGAGAAGAGGGTGAAGTTTTGGTTTTCCTTTCTGGTCTTAGGTTTTCCAAAGAGAGGCTGGCAACCCCCCGCCGGCCCACTCCACCACCTGAGTCCAGGCTTCTGGAGCTGTTTAGCTGCTGGAGAAACGTGGGTTTGTGTGTGCGGTGGGCGGGAGCCGTGAGGATGTGGGGACTGTATCTGCTTTGCTGTTAGTCATAGGATGTTGCAGACCTATTTTGCATACTGGCGTTGACAAGTTGAGGCTTGTTCATTTGACACAGTCCCGTGGTCACAGCAAATCTAAAACTCTAACCAGTGGAGAAGGTGGCTATATGGATCCTCTGAACCCTGAGTGGAACTTCCTGAAAGATTTATTAGGAGAGAAACCTTCTTGGAAGCAGCTCCCGGACACACAGAATTGCGGACTGGGCAAAGCCTCGTGGCCTGATCTCTGCTGTTGGGGGGAGTCACGTCTCAGAGGTGAGGACGGCCTCATGGTGTTGGCCTTTGGCAAACAGCCCGCCTGGAATTCCACTTGTGGGTCTGGGGATGGCAAGGTTGGGTGGGTCCACTGCCGACCATAACCCTGTACCCACCGAGCTCCTACAGGGGATTTATTATGTGCTCACATTGTTGTGTTCCCCGCCTAAGGGTGCTTTTTACTGTTGTTGCCTTACCTACTTTGGAGTGCAGAATATTGCATAAACCGGGTTTCTCTTTGAAAAGTAGACAAAATCAGCTTCTTTTTCGGATTTTCCTCTCTCTTCCTCCCTCTCCCCTCCCCCTCTCCCCCATGCTGTCTGGTGTGTTCTTTCTGTCCATGGCTGGAGCTTTTTGGGGGCTGGGAAGAGGGAGTTCTTTTTCTCAGTTCTGAAATATCTGACCCTGATTGCTGGTCAGAAGCTCGGGTGAATTCTCCCTGTCCACATCCAGTCAGTCCCTTGTGTTTCGGGTGTTTTTTCTGCTTGACCGGCTGGCAGGCTGGGTCTGGGGCCTTCTGCCTGCCTGAGATGGACGGACGTTTCTCATCCAGCTCAGCTCAATAAGCTGTCCCCTACTTTCTTTGCATCTGCGTCCCTGAGTTTAGCCAGACCAACGGCAAGTGAACCCTTTACTGAGAAAGCCGAGGACCTTGGGTAGTGGTTGCCGGGATTGTTTGTCGAGGTGGCCACGGATCCTGCCAGAGGCTGTACCCAAGTGTGCGTGTTCGAGGTCGGATGCTCTCCTGGTGCTTGGGCGTTTTGTTTTCTAGTCCTTTTCATAGTTGGCTGCAGACACATTGCTCTCCTTGTTTTTGGTTTTTCTTTCTCTCCCGATGCTGGTTTGTGATTTCTTTGAGAGGCCAGGACTCCCTTGTTTATATATCCTGAGTCTGTAGGGGACCCTGATCTGAGGTGGGAACAGTGCAGTTGGCTGGGGTCCTTTTGACCGTTGATGAGTCCCATGGACAGTCACTTCTGCACGTGCCCTAACTGGTAAACCTCAAAAATTCTGGGCCTTCCTGGGGAATGCTGCTCACATGGGCCTCTGGTAGGTGCTCTTCTGTCTCTTCTGTTTTTCCGAGTTAATCTAAGGAATTGATGGCAGTAGTAATAGTAATTGTAATAATAGCAATGATAGTAGTTCCTGTAATAACAGGAAACTGTATATGATGCCAAGCATGTTCTTTGTATTTGATGCCCCTTACAACCTCACCAGGCAATTATAATAAAATGTCTAGCAGTGATGGGGTTCTTGTCGTGGGCTGGCCTCTGTTCTAAATGCTGTAAATATATTATTTCGTTTAATCTCCCAATAAGCCTATAAAATAGGATTCTTATTATTGCCATGATTTTGCAGATGAAGAACCCACAGCTCAGAGAAGTTGAAAATAGCCCCTCGGGTCGCACAGCTGGGGAGCTGCAGAGCCATCGGGCTGTGTGTGGCCCAGGGCCAGCTCCCAGAAGTTATAGAGGGCAGTGAAATAAAAAACAGGCAAAAAGTGCTTGTTGGCCTGCAGCAGAAGGAGAGGCAGGATAGAAGCCCAGCATCTAACCCAAAGACACCCCTTGCTCTGGCTGCCTGCCTCTTTCGCCCTGGGGGAGCAGGCTGCTTATAGTGAGACCAAGGAGCCTGTACAAGCCTTTAGTGTCTGGAAAGCTCTGGCCCCAGGGTCTGGGGAACAAAGCCTCGGGGGTCCAGGCAAGAGCCTCCGACGTGGTACAGAATCTATGAGCATTTGCAGACTGCCACATCCAGGCAACCTGCCTGGCTCTGTGACCAGCATTCAATTACTATCACCATCCACAACAGATGGGAGATGGTGTTCTGCTAGCCAGTGATCACATCTGCCCCTCCCTCACCCTCCCCGCAACCGTTCGGAGTCCCTGCCTTTACCCTGAGTGCGTTTAGCTCCTAAACCCCCCCTTACAGAGGCTGTGGTGGCCCCTCTCCCAACCGTGTCAGTAAAAACAGTGACAGTCCGAGTTACAAAACGCAGGACTTACATTCACGAGGCCAAAATTGTCACGGCCAATTTTTTAGTGGCAGAATTCTGAATTGCCTTTCCTTTATTTTCTCTTCCTCTTTTTTGGGGGTGAAGGTACAGGGTGGCGTTTTGCTGGCGTCTGGTGGGTAATCTGAGCCCCAGTATTCTGTGTTTACCTGCCTGTTTTTTTCTCTTGTCGACCTTAAGCAGCTCGGGAGCATGGAGGGTGGGATAGGTAGGGCCAGTGGCCATCTTCACCTGTCTGGTGGCCGTCACAGCCCTGGTACTTCCTTGAATCAGGTGACTGTCAAGAACTGCTCTGTTTTTAGGGGCACCTGGATGGCTTGGTTGGTTGAGCGTCCGACTCTTGGTTTTGGCTCAGATCACGATCTCATGGTTCTTGAGTTCAAGCCCTGTGTCAGGCTCCTGGCTGACAGCGCAGAGCCTGCTTGATAGTCTCTCTCTGCCCCTCCCCTGCGTGTGTGCTCTCGCTCTCTTTCTCCAAATAAATAAACTTAAGGAAAAAAAAACCTGCTTTGTTTTCAAGAAAACAAGCAGCCCCCAGTCTACAGTCATGGTCTTAGCTATGAAACAGTCCCACATGGTGGGAAGTGAAGGGTTTGCCCCAAGGGAATGGACACTGAAGAAAGAGAAGGAAACAAAGCAGCAGAAGGCATCTGGGGACATATAAGGGCTTGTGCAGATCAGGGTTACTTTGGGGCAAGTTACTTCACTTTTCTAAGCCTCAGTTTCTTCGTCTGTAAAATGGGGACGATAAAATACCAGCTTCACAGGTTGCTGTGAGGAGGAGGAAATAGGGGATGAACAGCAGGAATTCAGCAGCATGTCTGGGCTCATAGTAAACCCTCAATAAAAGTTAGCTAATATTACAGCTACAATTAATGGGTTTCATTACTTCCTGTGGCTGCTTGGAGTAGTGGTTTCTGAATACATTTTAATGTGTAAAAGGAACATTCTGGTTACACAGATGGTAAGATGGCAGGGACTTCACCAGAGGCCTTTGCAAGCATCTGAGGGAAATGTAGGCTCATATAAGTAAGAAAGAGATAAGAGATCAGGGAAGCTGCAGAAGCAGGTCTCAGAAAGGACAGGGATGGGGGGCTGCCCCACACTAGCCCGCCTGTCTTTGCAGGTTACTTATGGTCTCTACGGCTGTGCAGGGAGAATGGTTTTTCCTTCCCCGGGATGGTGCAGAGCACTTAGCACAGAGGAAGGAAGCTCTTGAAGAAGACGTAAGAGCAGTTGTTGTTATTTATTATTCTTTAGGTCTCCCTTTTCCTAGTAACTTTGTTACTCTGCTCACGATTGATTGATTGATCCCTTCATTCACTTCCTGAGCGGTTGCTTCGGGCCCTGCACACTTATGTTCTGGCTCTGGAAGATCCAGCAGGGAAGGAGACAGACAAACGTCCCTGCCTGCTCTCCTGTGGCTTCCTTTCTAGTCCCGGCCCCACAGTGGGGGCAGGGTGGTCCCCAGGGGGAGATGTGAAACATGTGGAGGCAATGCAGGCAAAAATTGGACCCACTGCAATGCAGAGTGGCTCTGCCCCCCCCCGGGCTGTTAGGCATAAGGTGCATTGCCCTGGGCCTGGCATGTGGTAGTTACTATATAAGTGGTGGTTGCTATATTTATACTCTCCTATTTCCTCTCCTGATTTTTACTTTTCTTTAGGGTACTTGTTATGGACTGAATGTTTGTGTCCTTCTGTTAGACTGAATGTGTCTTTCCAAAATTTGAAAGTTGAAATTCTAACCCCC